CGTGGATAATTGATGATATCAATCGCGATGTTCTTCGTCGCCTGAATTTCATTTCCCATGCTTCCGGTGTCATCAATTACAAACATGAGCGAAACGTCGCCTTGAACAGCCATGAAGCTATCGAACGTCGAGCTGCCAACTTGTTGACGAAGGCCCTGAAGAAATTCACCACCTTCATTTTGCGAGCTTCGCTTTCTTCGCCCCGGAGGCGAAGTCTTGGTGCTCAAAAGATACATGATCTGTCCCAAAACCTCCCGTGCGTATTTATAGCTCTTACTTCTGATGGCTGTCACCAAAATTCTTTTCAGTTTAGCCAAAGTAGCTTCGCTGTAACGCACGCCCGACGCTCGTGCGTTCGCCACTGCTCGTTCGATGCCATTGATGGCTTCTAGAAACTTGTTAGATGGAGATGTGCGCGGTCTGTAGGTCTTGCGTTTCTTCTGGTATCTGATGACCGTCTCCGTCACTGGCCTCGATGTCGCTTTTGGTCCTGGATGTGGACGTATGGCATGTCTACTGTCTTTTGAAGCTACAGGTACATGTACCCTGGTCATCTCTATTCCGAGACGTTTCATCTCTACTCGCTTGTGAAACGTGAGTTTAACTTTTGTCTTCGAGGCAGTAGGCCTGGGAAATGTTAACGTTTTCGTCTCCTTCTCTGGCGTAAGAATTTCCACGGTTCGTTCAGAGCCACGAGAAAAGCCCATGAGGGTGTCGCGAGTAAACTGCAGCGACGAGAAAAGCTGGTTGCCGGTTGATGTCTCTAGAGACATCAACAAAAGCAAAGAAATTGAAGCTTGGAGTAACATAACTGTCTTCTCCATGACGTTGTAATCGAAGCGTGCGCCTCTAATGCAGTTGTCTTCCTTTTAAGCAACGTAGAAGACAGGAAGTTGTCTAGGATTTCATTGCTATTGGTCGCTAAAACGGAAGCGTAAACTCGACTCAGCACGTTTTAATGATAGTTTGCGAGAGCATCCGGTTTGTTCAGCTTTTATTTCACACGCCCTTTGGGCCGCCGGCGTGTTGAATCGATAAAAATCAATTGAAATTGATAAATTGTTTCGGAAATTTACAAAGGGATACTCTGTGAGTGTTGATTTTTACTGTTACTCTTATCGATTTCACCGGAAGTTATCAACTTTATCAGCGCAAAATGTCTCCAGTTATTGTAAGGCAGTGAAACATCAGAAAATGCCGAGTTTTTTTAAGGTTGGGTTCCTTTAGGATTATCCGTATCAGTGATCCGACATCACTAGGATCATAGCATGTCATACTGCCTCTGAAGAAGCAGTTTTTTAGTTGTGGATACGGAATCAGTAAAAAGCGGTCTTGTTTTAAAAAGATTATTAGTCACATGATTAGTTATATATGTATTCACATTATTTTAGATTGAAGTTCATTGTGTCATTTACCCAGTGGTAAATTAGACTAATGGTAAATTAGTCTTTCGTTAAATGTCACCTTTCTAAGCCTTAGTTTATGTTCTTTCATAGTTTATATAATATGTATATAATGTTATTATGTGTTATTAGTTGTCACATCTGTAGAATTGTGTGCTTCTCTTATATTAATATTTTATACTCATATTTAAATTTAATTATTTCAGACTTCCCTAATAGCATAGTAATAGCGTTTCTTTTCTTTCTTTTCTTTTCTTTTCTCTTCTCTTCCTTTCTTTTTATGAGTGCATTTGTGTTATCTTGCTGACATGTAATTTATTTTCATTTAACGCTGATGTCAACTGGCTGCCTGACTCTGCTAGCCCTATGGTTATTTCAGGCAGCCAGTACTCTAACGTTATTATCTATATTTTCTGTAATTAGTTATAAAGCAAGAGAGAGTACAAATAAAGATTGTTATTTCATAAACACTCTTGTTCTTTGGCCATTTCAATTTAACAAGAAATAAAATGCAAACAGCGGCAACAAACATAACACATGAACTACNGCATGGTTTGGAACAACAATCTAAAATTTTCTTGACGTTTCGCATGCTACAGCACGCATCTTCAGAAGTGGCGGTTACAAAAAAACGAAAGATTTAAAAGTTAAAAATACAAAGCGAGGCACTGGTAACTAACTAAACAATAACGAAAACAAAAAGTGATAGCTAATAAAGTGACAGCTTTTCACTGCTAGCATTGTCATTAAGTGTTGGTTTTAAGTCTCGTATAAACAATTTTTCTTTTATTTTACAATGTAAATCACAT